CAAGAAACGAAAATATAGTATCGCTGGTTCTCTTGACTCATTTTCGGTCAATTGTTTTAGTAAGGTGGAAAAAAAAATCAATTTCTCGACAACGAGTAAATGAATTCCGATCATATTTTTTTTTCTTTGTTCCTTGAAATGATGCGCATTGAGGCGCATTTTCTATTTTGGGATTAAGTTGATTTTCGCTGAAATACAGCCACACGCGCAAGACTTTTCAACCACCCCACGTAGTCATAATTAGCTGATAATAACGCAACTGATAACCTCAGGGCATTAATAAAAACGTGACTTTACTGCGGATATATCAAAAACAGAACCTAAATCTGGGGTACTTGCCGATCCATCAAAAACGGGAACTCCTGATATATCAAAAACGAAACTTTTGCGCCTCTGAGGCATAGAAAATTTTCAACGACATGACCACAAGAATTAATAGTATTGGAAAAGCCTGCCGTAATGATTTTGCCTCAGTTAATGCTTCTATCGATGTGCTTTCCAAAACGGATTAATTCAATATTATTATGCAATTGCCAGAAGAAATCGATCTGTTATTGCAATAAAGAAAATACCATGCTAGTACAGTTGAAGCTCGTTATAATAGAAAGTTGGGCACAACCCATGAACTCTCTTATAGCACAAGTTCCATAATAACGTGTATGATTGTTATAGTGGACTTCTTAGTGATTGCACGTGTAATTCTATTATAGCGTAAAATTTATTCCTCTTTGATACGATTATGCCATAAATCCAAAAATTTTAATGAATCTTATTGCATTCAGTAAATAAAGGCATACTAATCGTTACGATATGTCACAGAATCATGAAATAAAACTATCCAGCCGCAACTAAGCGCTTTAGATAAATACCCAATTTAACCATTGGATTCCTATTGGCAGAAGCACTATTCCATTATAGTGCGCCTAATTGTGATTTACCAAAAATTCTATTATAACTAATAACGCGAGTTACTATAAAAAAAAACCATTATAACGAGCAATTTTTAATATATGAAAATCGGGATCAAGAAAAAAGTTCTCTTACAAACCGACTCTATTATAACGTTCTATTATAACGGGCTTTGACTGTATGCTTGCGTTTACGTCCACCAATTGGTGTCAAGTGATGTAACGTGATATCGACTGCTAATTATAACTCCTTGATCACGTACATAGATAATAAGATTACGCACATGTACAGTATACAGCTACTGTATCTATTTAGCACCAGAAAACAAACCATGCATAAAACGTGGAGCGACCTCCTGATAGTACACTTGACGTTGTGATCTGAATATTCTTGTTCGCCTTATTTTCTTGCATCGCTTAGCCTTTTGATTGCTTTGTTTCCCAATGTTAGCACCTTGCTTAAATATTCGATCACATTGATCATATGTATCGTACATATTGTTCTCACATGATACATACGATTGAAAACCAAATTTGGGAAAAACTAATAAAAGGTCCCTTTCTCTTTCGAACCTTTTTTTGGCCGACAAGACTGTGTAAATCAGGAAACCAAATGTTATGATGATCAAACGTGCGACGGGTAAAAAAGGGTTTAGCAAGTGCTTTCTTACTGTCCTTTATTAGGCTATACATAACGCATTATAATTAGATTGCAAGGTGGGGTAATGAAGTCATTACGCATAGGAAACCACGTGATACAGGTATGCCTGCAGTTCATGCAGGGTTGACATTCCCTCGTTACACTGTCAACAACGCGCTAAACGTTCACCACAAACTTTTCTTTTTTTAATCCATATTTTAATGTTCTACACAAAGCATCGCACATCCGCTCCGAACATTTTAAAACTTATATACAAGAATTTGATGTGGTCTTGCTATAAAGCACTAGATAATTAACGGAAAGAAAAGAAAAGAAGAAGAAAAAAAAGAGAAGAAAAAAAATAAATAGAATACAGTAGGAGAACTCGATAAAAAGGAACAAGACCTGCTTTGTTCCCAAGTTCATCCAATAAAGATTGTCTATTACCGAAATTACCAAAGATAATAGTTCATCACGTGGGGCGAAGTAAGAAATAGGAATTGAGAAGAAAAAACAGAAGAAAATGAAAATGAAAATGAAAAAGGAAAAGGAAAAGAGAAATTTGGAGAATTGCTTTATACTACAGGCATCTCCCCACGATGAACAACTTTTTCCCCCCTCGCTCGATATCACACGACATAAACAATCATGATTAAAATACCATTAAACATTCATAGTATAAGAAGATAATTATAAACACAATTTTTCCCCCAGCCCTTTTTACACATTACATATTGATATCATTCAGATACCTCCCATCCCACTCGACTCCCTTCTCCTTCTGCTGTTTATCCATAGCTTCGGTTTCCGCCCAATCCATATCTGTGGTCATACTCGATCGTCTTATTCCCAGTACTTTTTCCTCTAATCGCATTAGTTCGGCAACAAATCCAATGTTAGGACAAATCCCTTTCCGTCGCTCGACAACATAGTCGTATGCATGACGAAGCGTCCAACGACGCGATTCGATTAGGAAAGCAAGGACAGCGGTCACAGAACGCGATTTTCCAGCCTTGCAATGTACATATATAGGACATTGGTCTTTCTGAGCTTGGGCTAAACAAAAACGAAAAGAAAACGAAATGGACGTAAGAACACGACCGCATGAGAAAGTCTTGAATATTACGCGTTCAAAACTTACCGATATACTCGACAGCAATCTTCAACCCACTCTCGACGTCTTCCTCGACACTATCCTTGAGACACAACTTTAAATAATTCTCAAACGTGTCTTTTAATCCAAGCGTGTCTTCGCATTCGATAGCCATATTTAAAATCCTTTTAACACCCTTGTTCTTTAACTCGTTCATTTCCTCGACTTTGCTAATTTCCGGGCCGAGATAGAGAAAGTCTGGGATTATTGTGGATACGACGAATGCAATTTCAGGGTGAGTCTGTGGAGACGTTGTTGGTGTGTCTGGAGACAATTCCTCGGCAAGGGATGGATAGAGTCCATGTGTGACTGACGTGCGCCTACGAGAGTATGGAATATTAGAGTCGAGAGGTGTGGTTGGTGGTGGATAGAGTGATAACTGGTCTGCTGTAAAGAAAAAAATTTTTTTGTATTAGCATGACACGTAATGGAAGCAGAGGTGTTGAATCTCACGAGAAATTTCCCCGACACACAACTTACAATTTCTCCCAGAACCATTAGACGAAGCAAACAAATACTGCAATCCATTAGAAGCTCTCCGCGATCTGTTTGGGATTGCATTCCCATCGCCACCAGCCTTGACAAAATTGCCATTACCATTTCCCCCAAATATCGAAACAGGCTCTGCTTTTCCGTCACCTTTATCTTCCCTTGTCTCTTTTGCAACGCCTTCTGCTAGTTCAGACTCTTGTCTTTGCTGTTGCTTTTGCCCACTTCGCTTATGTCTTAGAGAGCTTCTCTGGGTATTGACCGAGAACAAAGAATCTCTCCTTGTCAGTCCTGAGCCAGTAGACGATCCCTCGGTATCACCCGCAGTAAAGTTGTTACTTTCAGCATTGCTGCCACAACTTGCTTCTTCCCCGAAATCGTTCGATATGGGGGTAGGTGGCCAGGTATCGATACCACTTCGGACAAATTCTTTCTGGACATCCCACGCTTGGAACGCTTCGAACCCGCCCTTGAGCCAAAAAACTCTTCTCGCTTCGGGCATGTTTGGTGATACCGTCTCGGTCGATGATAAAGACGACGAAGACGCAGACGCGGGCTGTAGCGTTCTTGATGAAACCGACGAGGATGGAGATACAGGCGAAGATTCAGATGACGACGGAGACGGAGACGGAGGTTGAGACGATAAAAACGCACGCTCGAGAACATTCAACAGCGTCCAACCCGGGCTGACTTTGTCCTTCTCATTCATTGTTTCATCGAATACGACAAAGTCGTGCGGAGTTTTCGTGTCTGCTATAGTGTCCAGATACTTTTCTCTGCCCTCGGGAGTGGTGATGAAGTTGTCCAGAGCAAAATTGCTGACATTGCCCCGTCGATAGCGTTTTATTAAAAGGGTGGGAAGATTGACGTTGAACGAATCTCTAATGTGAGATTCTTGATACAAGGCGAGGTTTCTGACATCAATTAGGACTAGTTTTGGTTTTTTTCTTTCTGACGAATTCATTGAATTGCCTTGCAAGCCATACTCTGATAAAGTCTCTGCTATAGGCTGTTCGTCTGGGGGAGGAGTTCTTGGTAAATGAGAGATTTTGCGTAGTCGGTTAGCCAGTTCTTCGGTCGTTATTGGTTGAGCTTTTTTGCAATGGTCTTGCTCTTCTAATTTCTTTTGCGTTTGTAGAGAGTCATTTTGTATAGGTTGTTGAGAATTTTTTGACAGGGGTGGCGGCTGTGTTTTTATTGGTTTTAGATGGAAAACCGAAAACTTGGAAAGCGATCTTGGAGATGGGGGGGTAACCGAAGGCGTTGATGGTGTGAATGGAGATTTAAAGAAGAGTGTCCTTGGACTTGATACTTTAGGAGAAGAAGTTTTAGGAACCGAGATATTTGGAGGGGCAATAGCAGTGGTTAGAAGACTGGGAGCCGATGCAGCCGGCGTAGAATTCACCACGTATCTCTTTTTGATAGAGTCATTGCTTGCTTTCTTCCCAAAGATCCGGCCAGTCTTTTCGAATTTTTCAGATTTTTGTGTTTTCCCGCCTTTATTTCCCGATACCTTTGCCGATTTTCCTGATTTCTGCGATGATTTGTTTTTCCCTGTTATTCCAGTCTTTTGAATGGCAGCGGTGAGAGCGGTTATCGGTTTTAAGAGCAAACGTTTTGTGGGAGATTGTGGGGTACGTGGAAAAGGAAGTTGCAGAAAGCTGTCGCTGCGAGCAGAACTGATTGGGGAGGAAGCGTTTATTGAGGGGACAGTGTTTGGTATTATTACAGGGTCAGGTATTCTAGATAAGCGTCGTTTTCGACGGGCAGTCATCTTTAGTGTAGTGTCTATGAAGCCAGGTTGTTTGTCTTGGGATGGACGAGTTGGAGTTTGCGGAAGATAAAAGTGAGTTTGGGAGGACGCCATGGTCAAAGTGTCTTTTTGTGAAAAAGGATTTCGGGTTTTTTTTTCCTCTCCTTTGACTAGAACAAATAGAACAAGTCGAATATTAGTTACTGAGCAATTATTAGTAATGGTTACGGATATTGAGTAATAAATGATTTCGCTATTTCTGTATTTCTGCTATTTCGTTATTTCTGCTATTTCTGCTATTTCGTTATTTTTATTAGTTATTGAATAGCAGTGTTTACTAACATTCGTCTTGTCAGTTGTACGCCTAATTAGTCAACTTTTTTAATGCAGCGTTTTCTCCTAGATAGCATCTAGTTATGATTAGGAGTCGTCAAAAAAGTTCGTGTCGTTAATCGTTTATGGGGGGGGTTTGGTATTTGTGGGTGGTAGAGTGGGGGGAAAAGTTGTTATTTTTGAATAATCAAGTTGGGATGGAACTAATGTGGGGAGGGGGAGGTGATACGTTTGACGTTTATTTGATGCGGCTGAGTGACTACCAAGTAAACGTCACCATTCGGGGCTAAAGTAATTGTATGTTGTCAATCGGGTATAAGAATAGCAATTCATTGAGAATACAAATTAATTTGAAATATGAGCTATTTTAAGACGACATCGAGATGGAAGTACAAATTTCGTGATGTCGAGCTTTTTTACTTGGCAAATAAAAAAATAAACGCAAGGTTATTAT